TAAAAAGATTCATAAATAAAGTTAAAAAAAAGCGATCTACTGTGTTTCACTATGGAAGGTAAGGCGAGGCAGTGCGTCCGTGTGTACCAGAGGCACCATGCCGAGATCCCATGCTACAAGGAGGAGAGGAGAGGAGCACAGGGTAGACTATGACGGAGTCTGAGACGATCCCTATGAGACGGGCTGCTGATGCCAGCTTATCGCTTCTCAAAGAACAATTAGATGGGAACCTTGCCATTTGTCCTTTAACAGTCTACACTGTAAACGACCGAAATATTCTTTACGTATCGCATGTGATGAGGTAATGAGAAAAATACTTGTTGGTGAGAAGAGCCTTAGCGGCTGCAGCCCGTCCAAGCAACCGTCTCTAGCTCTAGAGGAGAAGCGCCGTATCGAAGAGGGAAGCTGTTTACTCACCATAAGTCGGGTTCGATGCTGTCCCACCACAACCCACCACACAGACAATAGAGGGTCACAACAGTCACACTCACGCACAAAGAGAAACTCTCGAGCCACCACCAGCAGGTCCCCGCTCCATAACACGTGGTTTAGAACGGAGCGCGCATGTTGGTGAATGGCTCGAGAGCCAACACAACTAATAGATTTCACACAAACAGCTGCAGAAAAAGTAACACACAGCAAATATCTAACACACGATAGAGCCCTGTGCAGATGGAAGACGAAAATGAATGGGCATGATTTAGCGATGTGGCGCGATGGCGCGAGTCACAAAACACAGCGATTGAGAATGGAGAAAATTAGACTTTTCAATATTTGCATCACAACAACTATAATTTGGTCCCTTTCTCAATGACCATGTGATAAGACGCCGAAAGTGAGTGTACGCACTCTAACAGAAATTAAGAAGTTCAAGAGTGAGAGTGACAGAGACAGACAGACGAAGACTTGGTGTTAGCACAAACAGCATGCATCTTTCATTAACACGAAAGAATATTGATCGCGTACAGCAGTTACGTAAAAGAATATTCAAAAATTGTACGCGCACTTCATTTCCTCGATAACGCGAGCGAGTATATCTCAAGCGGCTGTTGTGTTGAGGGGAGGGCGCCGGCGAGATAGGCCACCCATTCGACAACAGGGGTGGGGCTGAGACCAACCTGCGGTGCGACTGCCGGGAGGACGTGATGACTACCCCGGCCTTGCTCGAGACCTGCGGCAGGTCGTGCTGGATACTCGGTCTGCTCATCATGGAGATGGTAGAGTCCTGTGTGAGGCGGCGGCCTCCGCTGTAGTAGCTCTGCGTCAGAACATAGTGACGTGTACACATAATGCAGCAGGAGAGAGGGTGGCTGGCGTGTACTGGCGTGTGCGTGCACGTACCAGCGCCGAGGAGGCGATGGAAGCAGAGCGCGCGCTCGACCGGGGCGTGTCCTGGCTGTCCTCCGACGTCCAGGGGTCTGTCGTGATGCTGTCCCGCTTCCACGATCCACCGTATCCGCTGCCCCCGCAGTCCGAGCTCTTTCTCTTGGCCTGAGACGTGGAAAGTTCGAAGTAGAAAAAGGCAAGGTGTTGGGGTTGGGTTGTCTGTCGCGTGAGCTGTGGTAGGCAACCCGTCGAGCTGCCCTGCACGATGGGTTGCCTACCAGGGCGGCGGCGGCCGCGACTGCTTGGGACTCGGGACGTGAGCTCACCTGGCTACGTGGCGAGCGTCGCTCGCTGGAGGAGAGGCGGCGGTCGCAGGACGAGGGCCGGCGCTCGGCCGAGCTGGGGCGTCGCGACGACGAGGAAGAGTTGTCGGCGCTGGGCCGGCGCTCGCTGTACGAGAGGCGCCGCTCCATGCGGCCTGCCGCGTTCGTCATGATGATGGAGGGCCTGCGCTCGCTCGCCGAGGGGCGTCGGTCCCCCAGGCGGCTGCTGCGGCAGCGGAGAGGGGGGACCCTAGGTCAGTAAGCAAGCGCAGACTACAGCAACCGCCGGCGTTCGCCTTCAGTAAGTCAAGCTCTTGATAAATGCAAGAGGAAAGAGTGTCACTGGCAGAGTGTGATAGGGCACATTCACGGGATCGGATGCTTTGGTTTTGAGGGGAGGGGGTGGCTAAATCGAACTGCACGGACGGTGCAAAGGGTGTCTACGGCAAGGATGGATTTAATGGCAGGGGCGGCAAACTAGCTCTAGAATCATGCAAAGGTTTGTCTCATCGTGACGGACAGGCGATCGTTTGTTACGATTTCAAGCAAATTGGCCGAACACCGAGGGATGCAAAAAAGGTACTGCTGGGAGACATACTAACGAATTACAGTAGGCATTAAAGGGTGTCAGCATGGTTGAATTTTACGTTTCTTACGAGCGTATTCGCAGTCATTAGTAGTGTGCGTCTGACAAACACTTTATTACCAGTGTGAAACACAAGTGTTACACAAACGTGAAGTGTTTGTCAGTGGCACGCTAGACACGTGACGGTGTTAGCAGTGGCTACTTTGGCACCTTTTCGAGCGGAAACGCATCTAGGTGCCGCGGGCTACTCGTGCAAACGATACTCGAACCTCTGACCACATCTTTCGTCAGCACTATAAACGTCATAAAATGCATGACAGTCCATTCCTTAACTACGTGTACCTGTCTTTCTCGCTCTCCTCGCCGTTCAGTTTGTCCTTGTCCTTGTCTTTGTCCTTTGCCTTGTCCTTGCCTTTGGCTTTCTTCTCCTTGTCCTGTTGACTGTTCTTCTTTTCCTGGAACGGTCGAAGTAAGCGTTACAACACAATATCGTGGTCACACAGCAACATTTTTTATGCGCGGCAGTACGTCTGCGGCTTCTTTCTTTTTGTTATTTGGTACCGGATGCAGGCGTCCGGACGGGTTGCATGCATACTCACACGGTGCCGTGAGACACCTCGGTGAGTGACGTTAGACAAGCCCGCCAGCACGCCCGTGTTCGGTACAGTATATTCGGGAGAAAGAACGACGCTGACGGACCACCCTGTACAACCTCTCCCCTCACCTTCCCCGTCTCCTTTTCCTTCTCGTCCTTCTCTTTCTCTTCGGCTCGCTCCTTCTCCTTTTCACTTTCTTTCTCGCCCTGCCCCTCCTTCTGCTCCTTCTCGATGACGGTGTTGACGGACTCCTGGCTCTTGCCTGACGAGTCCTGGCTTCCCTGCACTGATGGTGTTGGGCTGGTGCTGGTAGAGGGCACCAGGGTCACGGTGCTTAGCCCACTGGGCGAGGAGGGCGCGGCTGTGTTACCAACCAACGTCTCGGAGCTGCTCGACGCACTGCACGTCGTGGTTGTCGCTCCACCAGCCCCGCCTGGGACCATCAGGTGGGTCGTGTCCTCACTTTCGTGTTCGACGCGGATTGACACACGGCGCACTGGTGTCTGAGGCTGCGACTGCTGCTGCTGCGTCTGGGGCTGTGACTGCTGCTGTTGTTGCTGCTGCTGCTGTTGCTGAAGCGCGCCAGCTACACCTTCCCTCAGTCGGTTCATATGCTCCTCCTCGACTGTAAAGGATACGAAAATTGCAAACATGCACTCACGACTGATTGAGTATGCCATTATCAATACGTGGTAAAAATACTCACATTTTCGGACATTAGCCCGCCAGCGGAAGCCTTGCGAGTCGTAGCTATGACTGCGGTCACTCATCTCAGAGCCGTAACCTGCAGGTAAAAAAGTGAAATTAAGAAACTGATAGATTCGTATCCCGATTTTTAGCAGATGATACCTTACAAACTTAAACTTACACTAAACATACATAAATATACATGAGTAATGTAAGAAGTCAGTTGCTTTTACGTACTCTCGATTAAGAAAAAGTAAAGAGAACCAATAACAAGCTCATATACCGTTTGCTGTCGGGGAATGCGGGACAGCTTATTTCTGCACAGATACGCGTACTAAAGTGTAAATACAGATTTGTAAATTACCGTTATATATGTGCAAGTATTTCGTCCCGTGAACTGCCACAGAATTAAATATTATAGACTGGAATAGAATTGTTGACCTGGTATCATCTGCTTTCACGATCCGTTACTGGTCGGAAACTTTTTTTCTCGTCAAAACTCGTTGCTTACCGGACACCGAGCTAGCCCCGCTGACGCGTCTTGGAGTCGTAAAGGCGCTACTGCGGCGTCTATCGCCCTCGAAGAGCCCGGATATCTGGTCCTCCAGCAGGCTGTGGGAGAGTAAGGACAGATATTGGAAATAGAGGTGGGTAACTCGTCCACTAGCACAGTCGTCCGCGTTTGGTTGCCTACGCACGGCGGCAAACTGTAAGGTGTTATAGGGCGAAGGGGAAACGACTTGACCAATCAGCTGGACACACCTCACTTTTTGTTGGTTCAGCTATAGCAAAGCCTCGAGGGGTGTGGAACTGGGACACAATATTTGTACATCGGGGAAAAACATTCAGAAACAATTGTGACCCAGTAATATAGAATCATGACACAATCACACACAATCACGACCCAATCACTCACACCTCACACTCACACACACACACCTCACACTCACACACACACGCAACGCAAGTGCGTGGATGTCGCATACTTAAGCAGGTGTGTGAATATCCATTTGTACACTTAAAGGTGCAAACGTGTGAATTTTTCCGAGAAATTTCACACGTTTACCCCCTAACTGTACAAATCACACCTGCAAGAGTGCGACATTAATACACTTGCGTTTCCAGTGTTTTACCCCAATTTTTATTATCCCTTTCTGAATATATCTTCAGGTACAAATTTGTCACTACTCAGGATTCAAGTTGTTTGGCGGATGTGCCCACAAAAGCATTTTGCAATGAGCAAAAAATGTCTCTTGTCATTTAGAGTGCAGTGCACTCCATGTTTGATCCGAATGTAAACTGGGTTGATTGGTCGTTTTCGAGGTGAGAACACTTACATGCTTATGCCGTCGTTGGACATTTCAGGTGGATCAGCGTTATAGAAAACCTTCTTCAGGGCCTCAAGCACCGTGACGCTGTCCGTGAAGACGCGATACGTGAGCAGAAAAGTGTTGAGGAAGTCGATCGACAGGAAGCGGAGATCCGTGAGGCGTTCGAGGAGCCGCTCTGGCGTGGCATACCGGATCTGAGGAACCTGCGTGGGCACAAGCCAGGGGATGAGCTAGAGCAGGTCAGGGAAGAGCCAAGACGGAGGCCAGGACAAGCCACAGCGGGCCAGGGCGGCGAGTGCGTCCGTCTGCCTGAGCGGTAGAGCAGAAATAATACAGAGTGAGACGAAAAGGAAGCCGTGGCTGGTCTGACGTGAGGGGTGGCTCCCCACAGGATCGACACTGAGTGCCTCGGAGAGTTGACAAAGCAGAGGGCACGCCAGACCGTTATCACACGGAGTACCGCGGTTGCAGCGGGAGGCAAAACGCAGGTTCCTCCAGGAGAAGCATGCGCCGCAAAGCAAAGTAAGGGAAATAAAGAGAAAAAAAGAAACAAAGGATTCCAGTTTTTGCAAGGGATTCAACCAAGAACATTGACAGAGGCCCTTCCAAGAGAGCAAACGATTTCTTTTCGGGATGACCGCAAAACAAACCCTTAAAAATAAGTCACCCAACTCGTTAAAAATCGAGCATTATAAAGTCATTCGACCACTGCAGAGCGTTATTGAATGAAGGCAAACATGTTACGAAAATACATATTCGCCGATATTTGAAAACAGCCGTGGTCGTTAACACATACAACCAAACGCTCACTGATAAAAATGTATAAATTAGCACAATTTACACATGGTGGCAACTTTCTCTCTTCTTGAAGGTTACTTGAGTCTTGCAGGAAAGAAAGCCTATGGTTCGGAAATTTCGTATACAAAGGTGTATAATGAGACTACGACAAAAGTGAACGCACCGGAGGCAACTAAAGTTAGACTGCCACCTTCCCCTGGCACACCTTTGATACATCAATGAATGTGTTACCTAAGTGACACCGTATATGTAAACTGCACTGTTACACCTTTCCTTTCGCAGTTCATGTTTACATTTTTTTCTAAAATTACTTTGTTTATAATTTATTATTGGTTAAGTAAAGACAGTATGAATATATGGGTGCTGCGAAAGGCAAGACTAATCAAGATACAAATTGTGGAACCTTTTGCCACACGCAGAGGGGACAGCAAGGAGGAGGGGTGCAAAGCGCTATGCACGTGTTTTACGTGCTGGTCGTGCCTGGCGTGCATTGCCTCACCTGGTGTCCCTCTACGAGCAGTCCGTGAACCTGAACAACAAAAACAATCGTTACGTGGACCAAAAAATGTAACTTCATCTACAAACAAATTAAGCTGAAATAAATGGTAATAGCCTCCTGATCGGGTGTCAGCCATGCAGAGGAATAAAACACAAAGTTGTGCCTTATGAAACACACGCACACCAAATGATACGGCACACATTACTGTGACTTATCCCATGCAACACACTGCGGTCCTTGACAAACTCAACTTTTACCTATCTATAAAAACCAGTTCTAGCCTAGTTGAAGGATGAGCTCACCTTACAGGAGTTGACTTGGGTCCGGCTGAACCGGATGTCAACATCATCCTTGAAGAGCTTGGGGTCGTTCTTGATGGACTGAGGCATGGTGACCGAAGAAGTGTCCGAGATGGACATGTGGAGTAGGTCGTTAAAGTGGACATTGTCCATGCACTGTGCAAGGGAACAAATGTTTTATGAACTAATTAAAATTAACAGTACGATCTGCAAACATTTCACACTGTGCGTTGGTAGATAACCGCACGCCAATTAATCATCGGTATTAAATCAGCGCCTAATATGACCCATTAGTTTCGGTGTTTTCAGAGTAAATGCCGAAAAACGTACCTGTGTTATGTCGGAGATCCATGCCGCCTTCTCCTGCATGGTCGGGGCCAGCAGATGGACCGAAATCTGCACGGAGGATGAGCAAGAGCCGGACCCCGTCTTTACGGAGTCCACGACGATCTTAAAGTCTTTGTTGTGCCACTGGGAGGGTGTCCCCCGGCTCGACGCCTCGCTTACCCCAGACGACTGGGAGGACATCGAGCAGATAGACGACTCTGCAGCAGAGAAAAGTTTCGCGGTCGTTATGTAGCCACTTCAGTTTCACGCGCGTTATCCACCAGGAAGAAGTATTCTGCTTCCTTACCGTCGTCATCCGCAGTCCCAGGGTCGCTGGGGTCCTCTATTAGCATGGCATCAGCCAGGGGAATTTTGCCCACGTTGGGCACGAGGTGCAAACGGCCGTTGGAGGCCCTGCATAGAACAACTTGTTAAAGGGTGCCGCTCAAGACTAGCAAGGGGGTATTCATCAACATCAAATGAACGACACACGACACACGCAAACGAACATAAGAGAAGCTGAAAAATGTTCACACTGAAACAATGTTTACAGGCGAGCTTCGTCAAAAAGTGACACGAAGAAGATACAATTCAATTGTAAGTTTAATATAATGGTGGGTTAGTCTAGTGATGCACAATCTCACGGTGAGGCACTCACGGTGAAACATTTCAGTTAAGGCAGCTTGGCAGAGCCAATCACAGTCCTAAAAACCTCTGAGGCGAGCTGCCTCACCGTGTGTCGCCTCGCCTCAGCAGAACAAATCCACCAGAAATGAAAAAGAAATGGGAAGTGAAGTATGTTGTTGTGCAGAGGGAAGTGATGAAAGAGAACAACAACCTGCACACCAAGCGACACCAACCAACCAAACACATGCAGGCAGAGCGAGTGGGCAAGTAAAAGAGAATATAACGGAACAGCACGAAATGTTTTATAAAGCCCATCCATCAAATATTAGAAAAAGTTATAATAATATAGTACAAACGGAATAACAACGAAATTATACCAAAACTCTATCGACTCCGATAGGTAAGCGAAAAGTGGATGCATCGCACAATAAAAATAACAATTATATGAAGGAAAAGGTGGGCGGGTAAATACATGCTTTTATATCAACATATTCACAATATTACACGGAGTCAATCATCGCAGCTAGCCATCATCCACACATGGCATTCCTGCACGTGACATGATAGAGACATTATGAGGGACAGGTAAAAGACAAGTCTGCAATCACCTGCTGCAAGTGACAAGGTGGCGGTGCTTAGTGGTGCAGGGGGGCACGCACCTGGTGGCGATGATGAGGTGGTTGGAAAAAAGGAAGCATTGGCGCACGGCCTCTTTCTCGCTCTTGAAACTCGCGAGGCGCGACCTGTTGGTGCGTTTGTCGTTGGGCAACTGTATCAGGGTCCCTGCAAAGACACCAGCAACAAGTTTGAATGCAGCAGATGGCCCCCTTTTGGACAAACTAAACTCTTCCCCACGTTCTCTCAACTGCATATTAATCTTTGTCAATTCAAATGTGCACGTCGTAAGCTTTAAATAAAGTGCTCATAGCATGTATATTACTCTAATTAATGTGTACACGCCTAAGTACAAAATATGGGACAAAAAAAGGGACAGATAAATAAAAGTGAGAACAAAATATCTTCGGAGGGTAAAAACAACGTATTGCTGAGGACGAGGCACCTTATTCTTTTTACTCTACAGGGTACCCATCGATTGCCGTCGTATGACTCGTCGTATTATTCCCGTTGATTCCCGAAAATCACCGCATGATTCGCGGAACGGTATCCACAATCCACATGGTTCCCTCCATGGAATGCGCTTGGAAATAAGAGTGAGTGGCCAGGACCATCAGGTCAGCCGGAGCCCGAAGCCCTCTTTTTTCTTCAGTAGAACGAGGCGTATAAAGCCGCTAATCTAAGTCTGACTCTGCCTCTGAGGAAGCGGAGCCACTCTCTCAGAGCAGATCGGGTTCTCGCGCTCGGTGTCGGCGTATAGTGTTAGGGGGGAGGCCAGACCCGCCCCACTCGTTCGTATCGCCACCCTCCGGGCTTCGGTGGGGGCTGGGGTGTACTTTTAGCCCCTTACTGATTAGTTGTTTGCTGAGCGATAGCGAAGGCTATTTCTTCAGTGACGCAAAAAGTTTCGCGTTTGTGTGTCTGCCGTTAATTCTGACGACTCAGGAAACGCTTTATTATCCATTGCCAATTGGCTAATTTGCGTACGATGTTATTTGACTTCGTTATCTGACTTAACTTCTTCATTTGGTCTTTGTCAGTAATGGGCTGAGAGTGTGGGGGTTCGGGTACGGGCTAGGTGGAGGTAGGAGTGGTTGATAGGGTGGGTCTGTTTCTCCATAGAGCATGGGCAAAGGTTTGATCAAAATGCAGGGAAGGTGCGATGCTTTAGTGCTTCTTGGTAGCATCTGACCTAAGCCGAAAGAGGTATAAGGAGAAGGTGGAAGTGGAGGAGGCAGAGGGGCAAGTCGGAGACTTCCTTAGTAGACATTGCAAAAAGGGGCAAATATTTGGGCTGCTCATCAGCAAGGCTGGGAGAGGCTCGGAGGGGTCAGGGGGTTGGCTAGGACGGAGTAGGGTGGTGGTCCGTGGAGGATAGAGGGTGGAGGCAGAGGCGGAAAGGGAGCAACAAGTTTGAGCGGTCCATGAAGTTTTCGACAATCCACGAAGATCTCGTCACAACGAGACACGACGCGGAGTGGCGCGCGCAGATTCAGGAAAGAGGGACAGGCGAAGAGAAGTGGCAGGAGTGGAGACAGTAACGGAGGGTGGGGACAGTGACGAATAGCTGAGGCGAGAATAGAGAGGCGATGGCTCTAATGCGATTTCCACCCTCTCCCTCTCCTCTCAAAAGGAAACATCTAGCACAAAATAATATCGACGAGCAGGCGGATGTCTTATTTGTGTGTTGTTTGTTTGTCTGATTTAACAAAAATCGATTATAGATGCATTCCTGTAACCACGTGACACTCACCCTGTCTGACGAAGACCTGGTTGACGTCCAGCAGGATGTCGCAACCCTCCACGATCATCCGCTCCACAGCTAGGTTCTTGCGGAGGTTTTCTGTCTCGCTGACCTGGACATAGATTAGAACCATACCATTCATTCCACATTACACACCGTTAGCAAATGTTGTAAATAATGTGCAGAAACGAATAACCAGACTTTTCCGTGTGAAAGCGGTGTGGTCATTCTACATGTCGTAATAACGTCGTCCGATCTCTCACTCCCACATTGTCCGATCTCACCGTTGGTCGAGGGGTGGTCGACTCGTATAATACTGGGTACATTGACCTTGTAGTACCGTATTATACCCATGATATTATATAATACTTACAATATTCTCTTGATGAAAACTAGGTTGGTATTAAACCGATTTATTTGAAAACAAAACAAACAAAAAACTTGTTACGTAAACTTTGGGTTTGTGAGGAAACAACAACTTTTAATATTTAAGTCATTGTCCCACCTACGACATAATGCGCAGATTCCTGTGGCAAGGGTAATAATTAAACTTTTCCGTTACTTTCAAACTATTTGGTCGACAAGTAATTTTTGGCTGAACCAATGACAACTGCAAAAACTTATTTAAGAAAAGAGTTTTGGGCATATTTCAAATTATATTATTTTTGTTCACAAAACTGTCCCAAAATGACTTGTCTATCAAATATTTTGAAAGTAACAGAAAGGTTTTATCATTATCCTGGCTTCAGATATCTTGCGTGTTAAGTCATCATTGGGTTACATGAACTGAAGTATGAAAAGTTGTCGTTTCAAACCCAAAGTTCACGGAACTTTTATTTTGTTTGATTCGTTTAAAGAGGAACCTGTTTATGACCCACCCAGTTTTTATCAACTGAATCGTAACTCTAAACAATAACCAGAAACAACGTGTTTCAAACTACGCGGGGCTCAACCGTTAGGGCCTGAGTAGTCAACTTAAGTAAATCTTAAGCGATTGAGAGCATTTGAAGAGTTTCACTGGAACTTCACTTTAAAAAATACCGTAAGGAAGTACGGTTTGCCTACGGTCCGTCCCGTAAATTTTATGTACGGACCGGACCGTGGAGATATGGACCGTATTTTACTGTGTTAAGGAAGTGCTGTATTGACAAATGGGATAGTTTGCGAAATTACGGTACATCCCGTACGGAGTGGACCGTAAGCCAAAATAACGGCGGCGGACCTGGTGACAAATTGACGGGGCGCACCGTAGACATTTACCGTAGGTTTTTCTAACAGTGTTTTAGCTTCCAAAAATTACCTGACACTCTGAATAGTATCTTATAATAACCTATAATTCTAGCTGTAATACCGTAATCTTTATATTATCCTGTAATACCATATAATACTTAA